AACTTTATCACAATATGCTAATTTTTTGAGAAGGACCTGTATATATATATATATATATATATATATATATATAAATGCACAATACTCACTGACACCATGATTACACTTCTCAGAAAACTGGCGCACACACAGCAAATTGAGAATTCGAAGATGAATTCGCAGGGTAACTTGCAAATATCAAGGAAATCACCGATGCATATAAACACATAGTCGGCAACTGCAGTAGGGAACAATAAAGTAATTTTATTTAGTAAAGGAAGAAAAGTCTCCGATATCATACTGCTTTTTACCAATAAAAAATTTTCAGACTCTGGCTGTTATGGTGGTTTTCATTGTTTCATGGTGACATGTTATTTTTTGCAGAATTTTTAAAACGACATTTAAGTTTCAGAACCAGGGATCGTTAACACGAACGTATTGACGACAAAAATAATAAAAATAAAAAACTATGTAGTGTAAGTTTTTTAAATATTATATCCGTGGTAAAACTTCGTTTTGAGCACAATATCTGTCAGAATTTGCTGTATGTTTATCAGGCAACAGGCATTCTCGGAGAGCATCCAGTCACATATGACTCAGTCAATATCTGAGGATTTGATTGGACGGCGTAAATATCAATCACGTCTTCCTAAGATATAATTGGTAGTTATCTTAAAAAAGGTGGGGACACTAAAACGTTTTTGCGTGTGATTTGGTAAGGGCATGTCGTCACGACAAACGGAAGTAAGACTTTACCGTCGCATGGACTGGAAAGGGGAGTGGAATCACACTTTTTTGGACCGTGGTGTTTCATCATCACGTTTAATTAAATGAAAGGCGAATTGCTCTCATAACACTGAACTGTTTTACCATGGTGCTGCGGAATGTTTTCACCGTACGCACTTTAAAGACTGCAGCATGGACCCCCGCGCGTGTGGCTAAGGGCAGCGGCTTTCCACGGAGTCCGATCCGACCTTGTGCTTCAGGCTGCACAACGCTTTCCGACGAGCTTCACTTCATCACCACCCCGATTTTCTACGTCAACGCCGCTCCCCACATCGGACACTTGTATTCCGCAGTCATAGCTGACTATTTGCACAGGTACAAGCTCATACGTGGGATCACATCCAAGTTCTCCACTGGTGAGTAACGTAAAATGCTTATAATAAGTGTGATTATTTGCCTCACCCATTTAATATTTATTTATTGTCCGCTTGTCCTTGTAGTGCCTTGTTCCGTCTTGCACTAAATTTATCGCACTGCTGTTTGTCCGGTTTCCCCCCCATGCACTTGTCCGCTCCCTTGCAGCTGTGGCATAAGAATTTTCTCTGAATACATGTGACAATAAAGCTTAAAACTTGTTCTTGTCAGTGCAGTGGTTAACCGTAGGTCTCTGTGCTTTTCAGGCACTGATGAGCATGGGTTAAAAATCCAGCAGGCGGCGGCCTGTGCGGGAGAGGACCCTCTGACTTTCTGCACTGAGGTGTCGGGACAGTTCAGGCACCTCTTTGAAAAGTGTGACATCTCCTACACGGACTTCATCAGGACAACAGACGAGAGGCACCGCCATGCCGTGGAGCAGTTCTGGGCTGTGCTGCAGCGGGGAGGCCACATCTACAAGGGCACTTACCAAGGCTGGTACTCCACACAGGATGAGAGCTTCCTCACGCCGACCCAGGTCGGTGACAGCACCGACTCTGACGGAACAGCCATCAAGGTTTCACTCGAGAGCGGCCACAAGGTAAGATAAGATCCTGGTGTGAATCACCTTCATCGGCAGGGCCGCAGCCACTAAGGAGGTGTGTGGTTCAGCAAGGTAGGTCGCCATGCCTGTGAACAGAAGGTAGCCGGTTCAAATCCTGTACTCGGCAGAATGGCCACATCTTTGATACCGCCCTTTGGCAAGGCCTTTAACCCCCCCCCCCCCCAAAAAAAAATGGATGGATGACTGACTCTGCACTCAGACCCTTAAAACAGAGAGCATGATGGGATGTGTGAAAATAAACACATATTAATGTACCTGTTCTTGTATAAATGGCAAATAAAGCTATACTTTCTAGGTCTTCTCTCACACGTGCACAAAACATGAATTTTTGAAAACTATGCAAAGGTGCTGCTGCTGTAGAGGACTTTCCTGCTTTTCTCACGGGCAGGTGGAGTGGATGGAGGAGAAGAACTACATGTTCCGGCTGTCGGCGTTCCGATGCGCACTGCAGCGCTGGCTGGCCGAGACCCCCGGGGCCATCCAGCCAGAACGCTTCCGGCACGTCGTCCTCCAATGGCTGCAGGACGACCTGCCTGATCTGTCTGTGTCACGCCAGCGGGGGCGCCTGCAGTGGGGCGTGCCGGTGCCTGGGGACCCCGAGCAGACGGTTTACGTCTGGCTTGATGCCTTGGTGAACTACCTGACGGCGGCTGGCTACCCGGAGCAGCACCCTCGCTGGTGGGCCGCGGCTCGTCACGTCATCGGCAAAGACATCCTGAAGTTCCACGCCATCTACTGGCCGGCTTTTCTGCTAGCGGCCGGGCTGCCCCTCCCCCGGGTGATCCTTGTGCACTCCCACTGGACCGTGGAGGGACAGAAGATGTCCAAGAGCCGCGGGAACGTGGTGAACCCCCTGGAGACATCCGGGCTTCTCACGACAGATGGCCTGCGCTACTTCCTTCTCCGGCAGGGCGTGCCGGACTCCGACTGTGACTTCTACGAGGATAAAGCCGTGAAGCTGGTGAACAGCGAGCTGGCTGACGCCCTCGGGGGGCTCTTAAACCGCTGCACAGCCCTCTCGCTCAATCCCGAGCAGGTGTACCCCCGCTTCTGTGCCACATCTTTCCCGAGGGAGGGGGCGGCTGGCGTGGGGCGAAGGGCGGTGCCCGAGGACTACGGCATGCTGGAGTCGGTGGAGGCGCTGCCCGGGCTGGTGGCCCAGCACTACGAATCGCTGCAGGCCTATAAAGCCCTGGAGGCAGTGGCAGCGTGTGTGCGGCACACCAATGGCTTTTTCCAGCGGCACACACCGTGGAAGCTGGACCGCGGCACCCCCAGCGACCGCTCCTGGCTGGACACCATCCTGCACATCTCCCTGGAGTGCCTCAGGATCTACGGCATCCTCCTGCAGCCTGCGGTGCCCCTGCTGGCGGACAAGCTCCTGTCACGGCTGGGGGTGTGGCCTGAAGAGCGGGCGTGGGGGAACCTCTGCTTCTTGGCCCGGCATCGGGGGGACGCCTGCCCCTTTGAGGGGAGAGCCCTGGGCCCCGAGACGGGGCTGTTCTTCCCCCGGCTGGACAGACCGAAGGCCAGCAAGGCTGACTCCAAAAGCAGAAAGAAAACAGCCTCGTCTAAACAACGATAAAGGAAAGGTTTGAAGTGGTTGGGTTATTTTTCCCTTTCACTGTCTTAATCCCTTTTTATAAAAACTAGCAATTAATTTATTAAACTTATTTTCTGATTAAAAAGGGGCTGGTTGAGTATTCTGTTTCTTTTCTGTACATTAATTAGACTCAATGCTTGGGTTTATCAGCTTGCAATGTCAC